GTTTTTTCAGACTCAGGTATTTAACACCAAGGCAAATAAAATTCACTTTCCTAAAGTTTTATCCTTCCCTATGTTTTTTTTTTGAAGATTAGTCCTGAGCTAACACCTGCTGCCAATCCTCCTCTTCTTGCTGAGGAAGACTGGCGCTGAGCTAACATCCACGCCCATCTTTCTCCACTTTATATGTGGGACGCCTACCACAGCATGGCTTGCCAATCGGTGCCATGTCTGCACCCAGGATCCGAACCGGGGAACCCTGGGCCACTGAAGTGGAAGGTGTGCACTTAACCGCTGTGCCACTGGGCTGGTCACCCGCTTTGTTTTTTTATATTCTGGAACAAACTGATACTTAGGAACAAAATTACTCTTCTTCTCTTGAAAAATAACATACATAGTTGTATTTCTCCATCACTACTGCCATAGTTATACTTATGTGATCATCCTTATTATTATGACCTAGTCAAAGAAACTAACTTCTATTTCCCCGAGAAAGCTGGGAGGCAGGTCATTGACAATTGTTTGTCACACACAAACATTTTAGCAGACCAGTAAAGCTCATGAATATTAACACAACTTTATACAATTATACATATCCTTTATACTTTAAAGTGGCAATAAGAAACATATTTATTAACTTGACCCAAAGATATAACTTACTCCATAGCATATCAAAATAAGCAACAAAAGTCTATAAACTTAATACTTAAACTTAGTAATCAATGATTCAACATTCTATCCAAGAAACAATCTAGGCATGCTATGATTATTTATTAAGTAATTCACTATCAGTCCAAGGTTTTAAATTCCTAAAGATCTTGGAAATTATCTTTTATCTGACACAATTCAAAACATAAGTACTGTCAGAATAAAAAAAGTTTGTTAGAATTATGATTCAATTTTCTGGAACCAAAATTTACATTTTTAAAAATCTTAAACTTTATGTGGGAGTTAGGTAATTTCACCAGTAAACCAATATAAAAATTTTAGGAAATTCAGATTAACTAGTCTCTTCATTAAAAAATAAACTGTACTTATACCAATGGTACTATACTTGTATTATACTTAACACTGATAAAGCAGAGGAAAAGATACATAGCTGTTTTTTTTCTTTAACTTAAATTACTAAACTCCTCTGATCTGTCCAAAGATTCATCTTAATTATGTGAACTTAAATTTTTAAAAATGCTTCTGAGCTAGCAGTTTCTATAAGAATGATTGTTTTTCCTTTAAAGTCTAGCTCATTCAAAGTATTAGAAGTTAATTTTTAAACTTTTCTGTTAATTTAGAAACTACTCCATTTATATAAGTGCTTATTTATCTCTATAAACCAATCAGAACAGACTTCCTTAAAATGAGGCATAATCTAATTTATTAATTTATATTGTTCAGAAGTAGGAAAGTATTTCTTAGCATGTAATGAGAGGTCAACATCTTCCTCAATTATAAACACACACACACACATTGTGAATTTAAAATTTCAAATCTACAACATCTTTAGTCACAGGCCAAAAGTAAATTTACCAGTCCAGATCTCAAACAGCTGTTCTCCTTCTCAGTGGGCATTTAATTCTTAACTGATTAGAGCTCTCACACACACAGACAAGATGAACAAACCAGATTCTCTATCATCTTTCACTCAAGAGAGAATAGATTTCTGTGATCTACAGAGATCACCAAATGGGCCATAAAAACATAGTCTCAATCATTGTCACCAATGAAGACTCATGGGCCATGCTTGAAGCAGAAACAAAAACAAAACACAAAATCAGTAAGGAGGGTAAAACCTACACAAATAGAGTCCAAAAAAGCTAAGGCCTTACTGCCACAAGGAAGTCACTCTGAGAGCCAAGAAAAGACGTGCCTAGGCTTAAGTAGCTCTGGAGGCGGTATTCTCAAGCAATGAAGTTTACTTGGCTTTGTGAGTCCACTTGTGTGTCTAGGTAAATGACTTCCAAAACTGCTAAAGCATAATTTTCAAAATGATAAAATCATGATGCATATAAATATAAAATGAACACATGTCAAAAATTTTATTTAACTCATTAATTAACCAAGGAGAGAACCAATAAGATACTAAAACCAATTTCCAGCAACCAATTTAAACCTTAAAACCTAGATGTCTCAAATATGTTTTTTAAGTTGCTAACCTTCAAAGTCTTTTTTATAGTTCATTATCAAAGGACAAGATTTTATATTTTAAATGTTTTTCATCTCCAACTTTATCTAAAAAGTTTCTTTTAAATGGCTCCAGAATTCTACTCCTTCTATTCCTGCACCTTACCTTTCCAGAGTTCCTTTTATTACTGATACTACTTAGTTAGGAACGACTGCAATTCTAAGACTTTACAGAAGATTTCATTTTCTTGAACTGAATCAAAAAATGGAGGGGTAAAGAAATCAGAGATGTCATAAAATACATAGAAAGTAGTATAATCTTACAAGGGGAATATGCAGCATGGAGCATATCATATTCTGCTTCTACATTTGCTATTTCAGAAATAAATGACTCACTATATCTCATTGATTCCAAAATGCATACTTTTTCATATTTAACATCTCAGAAATCCGGATAAGCTTTATGTTAATAGCCATTGGCTATTTTTCTCTACAGTTGTCATCTTTGCAATTGAGATGTGTCTTTTAATCTATGGCATATTAGTTAGGTGAAAATATAGTACTGCCGTCCCCTGGAAATGCTATTTCATATTATAAAGATGTTAAACCAGACTAGAAACCATTTAGATGTTGAACGCTAACAAAACTATGTTCATAGTTGCCGCTGGTCACAACATGGGCTTTGAATAAAATTGTAGGTAAAGAGAAACTTTTTCTTTTACAAAATAATGTTTAAGATATATAATGGTGAACAAAACAGACACAGCTACAGCTTTCATAAAGCTCAGACTAGAGCAGCATTGTCTAACAGAATGTGATCTACATGTGTAATTTTAAATTTTCCAATAGTTACATTAAAAAAGGAAAAAAGCAACAGATTAATTTTACATTTTATTTAACCCAATATATCCAAAAATATCATTTCAACAATCAATACTTTTAAAATGTTAACGAGAAATTCTACTTTATTTTTCCTACTAAGTCTTTGAAATAGGGTGTGTATTTCATACTTACAATACATCTCAATTCAGATTGGCCCAATTTCATGTGCTCCACGTGGCTATATTGGACAGCCGAGGTCTAGAGGCAGAGATGAACTTGTTTTTTACCCAATATTGCGTTTTTGTAGTTACTCTTTTTTGGAGCGGGGATATTTTTATTTTTTGAAGAGCTAAAATACACCAAATTTCAAAAGTATCAGAGTATTCAGTGAAAAGTAAGCCTTCCTTAAATCCTGTTCCCAGTCACTCATTTCTCCTCCTACTGCAGGCAACTGCTTTTAGTAATTCTGTGCATTCACAAATACATTCATATTTTTTTTCCTTTGTTTCCCACACAAATAGTAATGTACTATATAGTTTGGCACTTTCTGTTTTTGTTTTCATTTAATATATTTGAGAGATTTTTCCATAGCAATATATGCAGAACCTCCTCATTCTTTTTTCCCCCCCTTCTTTTTAATGTCTCTATAATGAATACACCACAGTCTATTTAACCTTTTGATGGTTAATTAAAATACTTGTAATCGTTTGCTATTACAAGGACTGCTGCTATGAATATTTTTGCATATGTGACTTCATACCCAAGGGAGTATATTTGTAGCATAAATACCTAGAAATAGAATTGCTGAATGTATTTACAAGAATTGCTAGAATTTGTAATATTTGCCACATTCTAGGCATCCAATACATATTTGTTGAATGAACATATAAAGTAAGAAGTGAGGCTTACTTTTCATCCTAGCTGTTATTGACTCAATCTGAATGTTGTTTTTTGCATCGGATGCTTGTATTTATTATTATGAGCATTACTTTCCCCAAGAGATCTGACCACTCTCTCTCTCCCTTTTTTCCCTCACTCCACCATATTCCTCCCCCTTAAGATTCAAAGGCAAAAGAAAGCTGGGGAAATTACATTAATATTTAACAAGGCAACTTTTTAAGATCAAAAGTATTAGGGCTAGAGACGGTCACTTAATGATAAAAGGCTCAATCACCAGAAATAGATAATTCTAAACGTACACGCATTTAATAAAGTAGCCTCAAACTATAAATGGGACTATCAACAGACTTACAGGGAGGAAATAATAAAATCTGTCATCACAGTAGAGTCAACACTCTCAGTTGATAGCCCACCTACGTCACTGCGCCAGGAACCTTTCTCCAAATCGTTTCGGAGTGCAACAAATTTTAAGGGTATGGGGTGCCAATAGTTTCTAATGGAAGACCCAAGGAAGCACCAATGAAAATAGCTGTAATAACGCATCTAGCAAATCTGAATTCTGTGGAAAGCTCGTAAAAAGCACATGGTGTTTCTTTTTTTGAAAGTCATTTCCAAATATTTTGGCTATGAGCCCTTCCTTGAAGAAATGGGGGAGCGGGTGAGGGAGCCGGACCCCGAGTGGACAGGGCAAACAGGAGGGGAATGTGACATTTCATTAACATTCACTCAAAACACCTTTACTGAACACTTACGACGTGCACGAACCCTACCAATCACCAGCCATTTCAGATCTCCAGAGTTCAAAGAGCTTCAAGAACAAATGATTTCTTAAAAGTAATTCAGATATTTAAATATTACTTAAAACTGTATTTCGACAAATTGAAGCAATCATCGGACGCGAAAACGCGCAGCAGAGCCTCTGGGCGCAGGCAGCGAGGACAGCCTCGAGCACTCGGTGGGGTCCTAGGGCAGCCCTGGAACTGCTCCTTCCTTCAGGCGGGAGTATGGTCAGCTATGCCGGGGCGCGGAGGGGACTTGAGGGCGCTTCTGCGCAGGCGCGTGCCGCCTAAATCTGCCCAGGAACTAGCCAAGTCCTCTTTTCGTTCTCGGACATGGTGAGTGAGGGAGTATTTGGCACTGCTGTCCAGACGGGTCGGGGAGAGACTGGTTAGGATAATGTTGAGCCCTCAGTCACCATACAGTGGTTTGCCAAGTATTGGAGAATAGTTGGGTTAAGACACGGGCTTTGGAAGGTTTCTTGAGGGCTCCGAGAGGATGAAGGGTTACTCAGCGTTTTCTGCAGACTTCGCGGGCCCAGTTGCTGCTTCTCATTTTACCCAGGCTTCCTCCTACCCGGCGGGCCTCGGGATTCAACAGCCCGATTTCTTAATCCCGCAAAGAAGCCAGGCCGGTTGGTGGTTCTTTTTTCCTTACGTATATAGAATTCTTATGGCTCAAAATCCTTAGAATCATTAGAGATGTGATCTTGTTGAACATCTAGTAAATTTTAAATGGGGTCTTAAGGAAATTTACTAGTACGTAGTCCTTTTTGGTAATTGTTATGACCTACTTAAAGTGAGTGCAATGCAGTCTCCAGCGCAAAGATCTAAATAAATGCGAGAAACAAGGCTTCTGGGGCCTTGTTGCAAATGCGGAAACAGACTAAAGCTGGAGAAGATGAGGCTAAAGGGACTGCTCCCTTGATAAATTGAACAGCTTTGGGGGTGTGTAGAGGTGCTTTGAAACCTGAATTTCTAGGATTAATAAACTTTCATTAAAGAACTTAACTGTAAATTATGGGCTAGCTAGGTTTTTATTTTAATGTTTCGGCTTGCTTTCTGCCACATGTAAACGGTAAGTTACCCTGAGTTGGTAAGTTTTCATAGTTTATGGTGTTTATTTTACTTATCTCTTCAAGTGAACGATAACAGATGAGGGTAATAATTTTTTGGGTCGATGATGAGCCGGCATGTATTCTGAATCTAAAGTTGATTATTACTACTTCAGCTCTAGAATTACTCTGAGACCTGAAAAATACCTGAACCTGTACAGGGCTTTAGTGCTTAAGTTCCTTTTAGTCAGATACTTGGCAATTTCTAAACTGGAAGTTTTTGTATAGCAAGATGAAATCAAAGTAAAAGGTTCACATATATATTGAATAGATACTACGGCGTCAAACATTAAAAGATAAACATTGATGAAATCACTACCTTTTTATTTTGAAAGGGTACACCGCAGAAGGATGTTATTATCAAGTCAGATGCACCTGACATCCTGTTATTGGAGAAGCATGCAGACTATATCGCATCGTATGGCTCAAAGAAAGACGATTATGTATGTAAGGTTTTATGTTGAAAAATGTATTTTAAAGGAGTTAGACTATTCTGCATAAGCAGTCAGTCTAGGTCAGTATTTGTGGCCCGTGTTTCTTAAAAATTGTATCCAGCTCCTGCATGCCAAGGACTGAATTTATGTCCTTGAACTTCACTGAGTGTGCCTTTGCATATCTGAGGTTGAGGGTCAGTCAGAATTAACAGTGGTCCTTACCAATACTTATTTAGAGGGCTTGACAAAGTAGATTCCCCTCCTGCTCCGATTTGTAAGAGGTTTGAGGTACAGAACAGATTTTTACTGTTGTAGTTGAGGTGATACTTTCAAGGTCAATGATGTGTTGGCATGTATTATCTGAATTTATGGCTGATGTGTAATAACACTTTAGCTCTAGAATTACGCTGAGACCTTGAAAAAGCTTTGCCTTGAGTTTTAAACTTTGAAGAATAGTTTTCCTCTCTGGGACAGTCTTAGAAAAAGTAATGAACAACTCAACTGAAAGTAACTATTTTCCCCTGTAGTATCGAGACAGCTCAATTATCTACCAGCTTGGAAAACACCTAGTATTGATGAATTCTTGACTTAAATGTGGTAGGTTCCCACAACGTTGTATGGCTTTGTTAGGGCCATGTTTATTTTTTTCCCTGGATGGCTAAAGGGTTAGAGGATGACTTGATTCCTGCCTTTTTTTTTTTTTTTTTTAAAGATTTTATTTTTCCTTTTTCTCCCCAAAGCCCCCCCAGTACATAGTTGTGTATTTTTAGTTGTGGGTCCTTCTAGTTGTGGCATGTGGGACGCCGCCTCAGCATGGCTTGATGAGCTGTGCCATGTCCGTGCCCAGGATCCTAACCGGCCAAGACCTGGGCTGCCGACGTGGAGCACCTGAACTTAACCACTTAGCAACTGTACCAGACCCAATTCCTGCTTTTTTATCTAGTGCTCACCTGCTGATTGTTTAAACCCTAAGTTTGGGTTCACAGCAAACTACCAAGACCACCTGTGTGATTCAGAACCTTTAAAAATGTAACACTTTGAAGACTAGCAAAAACTTATTTCTGTACTCTGTTGTGTACCAGTTTTTATGTCTCCTTGATTAGCCACTGTTAGCTATTTTAACCTTTGGCGTGCTTTGGCCATTTTGATTTCCAAGTAGTTAGGTCATTTGCTAATAGATAACAGATTTTGTACAGAGTCCGTATATTAAAAGAATGGATATCTAATAAATACGTTGTACATACTCTAAAAGAAATGTCCTCAAACTTGAAAAGGGTAGATCTTTTATTAGCTTATACTTTGTCTCTTTGGAGAGATTCAAGCCCTATTTGTGTTAATTACAGATGAGTTTATTGTAGGCTTCTCAGATAAATGTTTGACCCCCCCCCCCCCGCCCCCATCTACAAATCCGAACTTGCTACTGATAGGATCAAGTGAATTAAAAAGAAACAGTATGGCTAGTTAGCTTTCTGTGTTCAATCTCTAACCCTGCGTCAGTTCAAACTGGCACATTAAAGTAATTGTGTATTTTAGGAATACTGTATGTCTGAGTATTTGAGAATGAGTGGCATCTATTGGGGTCTGACCGTAATGGATCTCATGGGACAACTACATCGCATGAACAGAGAAGAAATTCTGACGTTTATTAAGTCATGTCAACATGAGTGTGGTGGAATAAGTGCTAGTATCGGACATGATCCTCATCTTTTGTACACTCTTAGTGCTGTTCAGGTAAATAACTAATTAAAATTCAACAGTCTTGGTAGTGTATTCTCTTACCTGAAAGGGGAATTTGAAACCAGGTATTAGGAAGGTCACAAAATCAGTATCTATGTCAAAAAGTTACCCGTATCTTTTCAAATGAAGTCTGTATTCTGCAAGGTCAGTGATGTGATGGCATGTATTAACTGAATCCAAAGTTGATGTAAGTTCTAAAATTACACTGAGACCTTGAATGGTAAAATGTTGATCAACAGTATATGTAAATATTTGAAAATCACTAGGTGGCGTTAAATGTTGTAACTTTTGGTGTTATGAAGATCCACAAATAAGGGTTTAAAGTCTTCTGTATATGTAGGTTAGTATAAAGATTCTTGGAATGCTAAGTTAAAATTTATATGAGAAAAATAATGCTTTATGGTTAAATGTTTGGGTTTATTAATAATACCTATAATTTTATTGCATGGAAGATAGTCTTCGTGTTTGAGAAAAGTTCATGATGTACGTAGACCAGAGCACTTTGCTTGCCTGACAAGTTAAGAGGTAGCTGAGGGAGAAATAGAACAGACTTAGCAGTATTGAGGTTTTTTTTTTTTTTAACATGGTCTCTCTTTGTTACAGATTCTTACTCTGTATGATAGTATTAACGTTATTGATGTAAATAAAGTTGTGGAATATGTTCAGAGTCTACAGAAAGAAGATGGTTCTTTTGCTGGAGATACTTGGGGTAATGTCCATTTAATCCATGCTACCGAAAGTACCAATGTCCTGTTTGGTGTTTATTGTAGTAATAGGCTTTGTTGCAAATTTTAAAGTACAATGCATCAGAGGTTTTGCTAATAATTTATAAGGAGATTTTTTAAGTTTTTCATTTTTTCAGGTCCCACTAAGCAGCTGGTCTAACTGGAGTTAATGGTCTGCTGGCAGTTCCAGCATGCACTGTGGTAGTTATAGCAGCATACAGGAGCACTGGAACAGAGGGGGCCAGTCTAAAAGATAAGGTAGGTGTCTTTTTTTTCCCCAGTATTTGGTGACTTTGTAAAGTTTTTAAAAAACTGCTTACTGGCAGGGGAAAAATATTCAAAAAACTTTACAAACTTACCGAATATTTGAGTGGAGGGAGGGAATAGTATTTTACTTGATAAATGTAGATAATCTCTGCTTTAGGGCTGAATACAGTGCAGGCCTGGAGAGACCAGCTGCTTCATGGGATGTGAAAATCTGCTTTTATATAATAGGGTAAGTTTATGTCAATTAGAAATTGACTAGTCCTTTTGGTTCTGTTAGTTAGTTACCTTTTCTTTCTGGGCGCTCTGTAAGCAGTTTAAGATAATTTACTGTTATTTTTGACAAAGCATTTTTCTAGTTCTTGGTTTCTTTAGAAGTAAAGTGATTTCACTTCAGATGTGGCTTTCCTTCTGGTGACCTAAAAGTAAATGTTAAACTTTTGAACTCTGGAAATTTAACCATGTTAGTTATACAGTGTTTCTTTTCAGTTAACTTGCACCATTATGATCAGAGACCTCTGGTAACACTTAGGTTTTTTTGTTTTGATCCCGTTTTGCTTTTAGGAGAAATTGACACAAGATTCTCTTTTTGTGCAGTGGCAACTTTGGCTCTCTTGGTAAGTTTTGAATATTGTATTGGAATGATGAAGCATCCATGATTACTCTGGAGTTTAATAGGCATATTTTTTTCTGTTTATAGGGGAAACTGGATGCTATTAATGTGGAAAAGGCAATCGAGTTTGTTTTATCATGTATGAACTTTGATGGTGGATTTGGTTGCAGGCCAGGTTCTGAATCCCATGCTGGGCAGGTAATTTATTCATGTAGATTAAAATGTAGTGTCAATTTTGAAAGGGATAACCAATTTAGTAAACTGGGAAAATTAATAGCAATTTCAGTGTCTGTTAAATTTGAATGAAGTTAATCTGACTGAATGTAATATAATATGGGATGTTACTTAAGAATTGTTTAATTGCTGGTTAAGGAAGGTATTTTTACAATAGTTTGATTTATATGCTTTCCTGCCTTGGCGGAACCCTCTGATCCAGGCAAGCATAAGTAGGTTTGTAATCACCAAAAGTACGTTTTGATTTTCTGTTAATTTTTAACTAAGCAAATGAAAACATTCTCTTCCTGCCTATTCTGAATGCCTATTTGCTAGTGCCAGAGAACATTGTATATATATGATTGTTGAGTAAAATTTGCTTTTATCCCTGAAGAAATTGTGGGAATAGTATTTCATTGCAGAATTGAATGCTAGTAATAGTATACTTGGTTTTGTTCAACTAGTCATGTGATATTTACTTGTTTCCAATTCTAACTGTTCAATTACCAGCAAATTTTTTAAACAAACTGGAGTTTTAATAATTTGAGTAGTTTTTATCACTATTTTATTATTGAAACATTATTATACACATGTACTTTATGTCTGTAATTTTAGATCTATTGTTGCACAGGATTCCTGGCTATTACCAGTCAGTTGCATCAAGTAAATTCTGATTTACTCGGTTGGTGGCTTTGTGAACGACAGTTACCGTCAGGTGGACTGAATGGAAGACCAGAAAAGGTACTGTTTCGTAAGATAAACTGTTCTAATAGCTTTATAACCTGGAGTGAGTACCACTTTGTCTTAGATTTTTCGATGTTGCTCTTGTAAATTGATAATGAGCTTAACTTCCTCCCGTTGCCAATTTTTCCGTTGTACCTCCTTAAAAATGCCCTTGGCAAAAGTAAAACAAGTGGGGTTGAAATGCTTACTAACCCTGGTGTCCATTTAAAAGACACTCTTGAAGAAAAGATGTACATGGTACCTTCGGATACTCTTTTTTTATGACAAAGGTGCCTCTTGGTCTTCCCTGTCCTGAAGTAGACGCATGAGTTATCTGGCGAATACAAAATGGCAAATACTCCAAGGAGGAAGTGTTAGTAGTGTGGCTTCTTTGGCTCCCACTTTGTCTCTAGTCTTAATGGGCTGCACATAACTCAGGATTTCAGTGGTGACCCTGGAGATTTTAGTGGTGACGCCTAAAGCCTAGAAGGAGGAGATCTTCTTGGGCCCATACCAGTGTCCAGGGCTGGCACAGTGACTTCACGTGGGGCAGTGGCACCTAATTGGCCAACAGTATGTCCCTGATCTCAGTGAGGTCCTCCTTGAAGAACACAAAGCCCTCATTCTCCGGAGCTGGATTGTTCTCCAGCTGCCCGCAGATGGCCTCGTGCATCATGGTGTTCTTGCCCATCAGCATTACACACAGCCTTCCTTCAGAAGGACGTGCAGATCTGCTGCAACTGCTTGGAGCTCACACTGTCTGCTCCATGATGGAGCGTTCTGAATAATCACTCAAAGGTTGGATGATCTTGAGGAAAGTAGTTGGACTTCCAGGTCATGCTGCCTTCCCTGGGCATCACAGCAGTGTGTCAGGGTTTGCTACAGGGTTTAATGGTGATGTCACTCACACATTAGCTTTAAAATATATTTGTATTCAGACATGATATGAATTCTTAGAAGATATTTTTCCCTATGCTTCTGAAGGCCTTGTATTTTTCAGGCATTGAAATAAAGCTATTTCTTCAAAATCTCTTAATTCTGGACCTATGCCAGGCACTTGATCGTGCTTTAAAAACTTAGTATCTGGCAGCAAAAGACTGTTGTTAAGTGAACACATGCATCTTATACAGGAGTCTCCATGTGTGTTTATGAGTGTGAAAGGACAATGGGTTTGCCCAGAAAAAGATTTTTAAAAATAGGTTACAAAATTTTCATTCAAAATTTTTAGTAATTTTTTAAGGAAAAAGTCAATTTTTGACATTTTGATTTGGAGAAAGGAAATTACATTTTCCTTCACAAGTCCATAGTCCTGTTAAGCTTTCACACATTATGGGTCTTAAGAGCTAGGTAGTAAATATTTTCAGCTTTGTAGGTATATGGTCTTGTTGCAACTACATTAACTTCCCTGAAGAGCAAATGCTGCCATAGGCAATAAGGAGTGAATGGGCCTGGTTGTGTTCCAGTACAGTTACTATGGATGCACTTGTATTTTATATGATTTTCCTGTCACAAAACTATGTAAAATGTTTAAGACGATTTGCACATACAAAAAGCTGGTGGGGCCGGCTCAGTGGCACAGCAGTTATGTTCACATGTTCTGCTTCAGCGGCCCAGGGTTCGCTGGTTCGGATCCCTGTGTGGACCTAGCACTGCTTGTCAAGCCATGCTGTGACAGGTATCCCACATAGAAAGAAAAGTAGAGGAAGATGGGCATGAATGTTAGCTCAGGACCAGTCTTCCTCAGCAAAAAGAGGAGGATTGGCAGCAGATGTTAGCTCAGGGCTAATTTTCCTCAAAAAAAAAAGAAAAGCTTCTGTTGTAGTCTAGATTTGACCCAAGGGCTATATAGCTTTTGTTGGGCCCATGACCTAAAATGTGGTAGGGCATGGTGGTGCTTTCATCTGGGTCATTGTATTTTTAACTTTGCTTGCTCAAGATATCCAAGTTAAGGGGGCCATGGTGGGGGTAGGGGGGTGGTGGTAGGTAGGGAAACACCCACAGGTGGTTTCTAGTTAAAGTCTAATGAAAAACCTGGGCAACTTTGAACAATTAGAAAATGGTCTGGGGTGGGGATTGCCAAGAACCTGCACTTAAAATCTAGGGCAGCTTCTAATGTGCCTGTGAATGACCCAGGGATCTTGTTGACATGATTCTTTCTCAGCCTAAGCTGGGATCTTCTGCATTTCTTAAACTCAGGTGGCCATGGTTTAAGGAGCCAGGTTTTAGGTGATTTTTTAAGCAGGTATGTTAAAAAGTGCTGACCTACCTGGACAGCACTTGTTGAAAATGTGCTACCTAGGGAAATCATGTATGTACATCACGGTGGATTTCAACTTTACTGCCAGCCTCTGGGATAAGGGGCTGAGTTAGGCATTCATCGCAGATAGAAATAAAAGCGGATGGATGGTTGTCACTGAGCACTGAAACTCAGACATTTAGCATGGGTTTCTGTGGATTGGAGTATGTGGTCTTCTCTTTTCAAGTGATTATCTTTATTTCTAAGCAATCATATTTATTAATTTCAGCATTTCAAATTGCATGTCAGTATATCCTTTGATTTCCGCCCCTCCTCCCCAATGTTTAGAGAGTAAAATTGTGGCAACTTTCTGTGGCTTTTTTCTCCTCCTAGTTACCGGATGTATGCTATTCATGGTGGGTCTTGGCTTCCCTAAAGATAATTGGAAGGCTTCATTGGATTGATAGAGAGAAACTGCGGAGTTTCATCTTAGCATGTCAAGATGAAGAAACAGGAGGATTTGCAGACAGGCCAGGAGATATGGCAAGTATATTTCTGACATGTTCATGGAAGTTAGATTGTCGTTGTTGGTTCGTGTTACTTTTATGATTCTAAGCCTTTCCAGACTTAGAAATGGAAAGTATTCCAAGTCTTGCTTTGAAAGCTGGATACTTTCTTTGTAGCTTTTTCTTTTTTCCTGAGGAAAATTCTCCCTGAGCTAACATCCATTGCCAATCCTCCTCTTTTGTATGAGAAAAATTAACTCTGAGCTAACACCTCTGCCAGTCCTCCTCTGTTTTTTTGTACGTGAGCACTGCCACAGCATGGCTGGTGGAGTAGGTCTGTGCCTGGAATCTGAACCCATAAACCTTGGGCTGCTGAATCGGAGCGCACAGAACTTTAACCACTCTGCCATGGGGCCGGGCCCAATTTCTTTGTAATTTTTATTTGAGAATCTATGAAGGATATAAAACAAGTTTACAGAAATTTCTCATCACTTACTGCCAAAATTTATTTTATAGTAAAAGTCCTGTGTTAAAAACAACCATAATTTGAAATCGTTTTTCTTTAGAAATCTTTAAGCATGCATTCAAGTAAAGGAAATACAATAGGCTATAAATAATCATTCAGAAGCAGAGTTTTAGAAGTTTACATTTTGTAATACTCTATAAATTCTTATTTTTTAATAGGTAGATCCTTTTCACACTTTGTTTGGAATTGCTGGATTGTCACTTTTGGGAGAAGAACAGATTAAACCTGTTAGTCCTGTTTTCTGTATGCCTGAAGAAGTACTCCGGAGAATGAATGTTCAGCCTGAACTCGTGAGCTAGATTCATTGAGGCAAAAGTTGCTTAGTATAGTTTTTGCCATCTTAACATTTCTGTATTTGAAGTGCTTATTAAACTTAAAAATGACTATTATGTTAATATTTTGTATGAATTGTGTTAATTTTAATAAATTATGTAGTTATTATACATATTGTAAAATACAGACCTTTATTGTATCTTCAACTTTAGATTTCCTCCTGGAATGCTATCATTCTGAGTACAGTATTTTATGCATCAATGTATTTGTTATTTGTATGTCTCTGTAACAGCAAACTTTGTTAGCTGAAGAAGTTTTCTGTTCTGCTTGACTTTTCTCATGTGCTCCCTTTATATGTTTTGTAACGATAGTTAATGTAAATTGGTCTGTCAGTGAGAATGTTAACTGAGAAAAATTGATAAATCCCATATATGAATTAAAAGATGCACAAAAATAATGGCTGTTGAAATTTGTGAATATTTCTTAGGTTTATGGTTACTCTGAGTTCGTTACAAAGTAATACAGGTAAATGACAAGTCACTATCTTAGAATAGGATTGTAATCTGAGTTACACTTTGTTCTCATTTTTTAACATTTTGTGTCAGAATGCCAGCTATTTACCCAAGAGACTTACCTTTTTTTCCCCTCCTAATAAGGAAACAACTTGATACTTGACATCACATTTTTGAACCTGTGTTTTCAAGAAAGACTAAAATGAGCATAACCATTCTCAAACAGTTTTACATTTTTGGTGAAAAAATATTTTAGTGAACGCTTTTCTTGAGATGGAAGTTGAAGTTTTCTCAAGCATGTTTGCTGTACTCTGTAATATGTAATAGTCATTTTAAGAGTAATTTTACACATTGAGTAATGATTCATTTAACACGTTGACCAATGTCAACTTTAACATCTTGAAAATCGGTGCTTTTATGAGATTCTTGAAGTGTCTAGCATTTTGACAATTAACTAAAGAGTTTGGGCTGAGTTGCCACTATTTTGTTTTCTGAAAGTTTGGAAGTCATTGGATGGAGCATAATCTTTTTTAAATGGTGTCATTGGAAATATTTGAAGAGAGTTTTGAGGACTGCAGTCACTGCATGTGGGTGAACTATGCTGTGAATATCTGATTATTGAGATACTTAAGGGTTGTATGAATTCAGTGATGGTTTAAATGAATGTCTTCTAGTAATAGTATCCAAGTGTACAGTCATGGGCTGCATAATGACTTTTTGGTCAACAATGGACTGCATATGCAGTGGTTATTCTATAAGGTTAGTACCATATAGTCTGGGTGTGTAGTAGGTTATACCATCTAGGTTTGTGTAAGTACACTCTTGATACCTGCACAACGATGAAATTGGCAAATGACATTTGTCAGAACATATCCCCGTCATTAAGAGACGTGACGGTATGCTTCCCAATCCTAGCATCTCTGAAATTGGTACTATTTCCATATTCTAGAGAAGTAAACAGGCACAGAACTTAATTTCCCAAAGGCGGTCATTTGATGCAAAGCTAGTTTGAATTTGTGGTCTGTTCTTATGCATACCTCTGTGGAAATCACAGCACTAGAAATTGAAAGATTGAGAACTGAAACTATCCAAGAGGTCTCATCCATTCTTTGGTTCCTACTTTACTGTGCACATGGCCATGTGCTTGCTGGGTGAAGGGCAATCTTACAGTGATGATGCAGGCTGTGGATATTTAAGCTGTGAGAGTGGCTTTTCTGTATTTAGCCAGAAGACCCATGTTAGATGGTTTGCTAATGTGTGAGCATTGAATTTGTTTTCACCATCTTGTAGGCACCCGGTGCATAGATAGTTTCTTATATTTAAAAAGAACATAGTGTATTTGGGTGTGTATAGGAAATGTTAAGCACCAAACACCCTGCGATAAGGGAAGTAGGGTGCTATGAGAATAATGGTGCCACCAAATCGGATGGTTATTTGATGGACGCTAAAGAATTCCGTTCTGCTGATATCTGAAGGTAAGTCAGGACGAGGAGGGCTGCACCTAAGATAAAGCTCATAACCAGGTACCATGCGAGGTGGTGGGACTGGGAACGGCTCGGAGTACATTCCCAGCGTGGCTGGGGAAAGGTGAACGGACCCGGCGAGCTGGGGCTCTGCGCCTGCGCTGTGGGAAGCGCCTCGGGCCGGCGTCCTGCGGCTCCGTGCGCCTGCGCGCCATCCTCCCGCCTTTTTCCGCGTTGTCTGCCTTTGTGCTCCACGACGGGACGCTCGCAGGTCTCGTACTTTTGGTGCCTCGGGAGGCCTGTGAGGATGCTGAGGCCTGAGATGTCGTCATCCTCGCCCTCCGTTCCTGTGGTTTCCTCTTCGGCAGTGGCTCGGTCACAGGGTCCCCGCTACAGTTTCGGATTCCGGGAGACCTCTGGGAGCCGCTCTTCGGCCCTGGCCTTCTCTGCGCCCACCCCTCCCGGCACGTCTGGGGCCGCAGGCGACCGGAGCAGCAGCAGCAGTCTCCCTCGCCTCCCGCCGAGCGCCGGGCCTGCTCGAGGCAAGTGGGGGGCGGAGGGGGCGGTCCCCGTGGGCCGGGATCCGGGATCCGGGGAGCGGGTGGCGCTTGCCAGAGGACTCAGCCGTGCTTCGGCTGGAGGGTGAGCACCGGTGCTCTGGGAATTCGAGGGACCGTCCCGCTCTGAGGCCGGTTCGAGTGACTTCCGGCGTGCTGGCCCTCTCCCCGCCCCTCCGCGGGCCTGTGACAAAGGACGTGTGGGGATAGGACCGGCGAACCTCTTGGCTGCTGAACTTAAGTCTCCAGGTCCTTCTTGGACGGGATGAGAGTAGATTAAATTTAACATTTCATCTTATTCAGGTGATTAATATGTTTACTGTTAAAAAACGTATGTTCTTCAGGGCGAGTTCAACTCGTTTATTTTATATTCGGCCGCTCCAGTCATGGCGAAACCGTCACACAACGTTTTCACACGACGCTGCGGCTCAGCGGTAAAGTAACGAGTGCCCAACGCGGTGGTCGCTTTTCAGTTCGTCCCTGGGACGTTCCTGCGGTATTTGATGTTCTTGACCAGCCTTCCCTTGAACTCTTTTCTTTTTTAAGATTTTATTTTTTATTTTTCCTTTTTCTCCCCAAATCCCCCCAGTACATAGTTGTATATTTGAGTTGTGGGTCCTTCTAGTTGCGGCATGTGGGACGCCGCCTCAGCGTGGCCTGACGAGGGTGCCGTGTCTGCGCCCAGGATCTGAAGCAGCGAAACCCAGGCGGCTGCAGCGGAGCCGCCAACTCAACCGCTCGGCTCCAGGCGGGCCCTTCTGGAACTCTCTTACTTTGATTTCCACTCTGCCGTGTTTTTCACCTGCCTCCCAGACAACTGCTATACTCACCCTTGTTAGTCCCAAACGAGTGGTTTGTCCTTAGAGTTTTTTTCTAGGCCACTTCTACCTGGATGTGATTATCGCCACAGCTCAGATGCCGTCTGTGCTCCAGATTCCTGCGTCAGACTGTCTTGTGGAGTTTCTAGTGAGAGACCCAAGGTCACCTCAGGCTCACTGTGTGATTAATTGAACTCATCTCTCTGCAGCTCCTCCTTGTTTCTTTTATCTCAGTCATTGGGTTTTCTAAATCTTAAACCTAGAAGACTTCAGTAATTCAAGTATTCCCTCACTCACAACATCAAATAGTTAACAAGTCTTGTCTTTTTCTTTTAAACGATTCTGTCCCTTTCTCTCTCTGTGCCATGACAGACCCTCATAATTTTATGTCTGAATTATTTCATCAAACTGCTAAGGATTCCTTCTTGCCAGCTTACTTACGGTGTCACCAGAGTCATATGGAAAATGAAAATCTTATGTCCCTTGCCGATTAGCATAAATCAGTGGCTCTGTATCTGCAATTAAAAAATCAAACTCTTTAGAGGATATCCAAGGCCATTTGGAATCTATTTCCAATCTTTACAGCCTTATTGCCCGTTGCTTCTTAATATTTACCTTATTTTCTAACCTAACTGAGCTACTTGTGTTCCTCCAAGGCAACATGCGTGTTTACATTGTCAATATAATCCCCTCTTCATGAAATGTTTCGTCACTCATTTATTTTCAACAATATTAATAACATCCACTAATTAATGAGCACTCCTCTGTTCTAGCATCTTACTGGGCATTTGGTATCTCTGATCCTCACAATAATTCTGCACAGATTTTACTTTTGTCCCCATTTTACAGAGGGAGCCAAGGCCAAAATAGATTAAATAGTTATGTTAGGAGCTGAGGATAAGAATATTCTGTGCTCTCAAAGAACTTATGGTTCAGTAGGGAAAATCAATAAGTACGCTTTAAAAAGGTAAGTATATTTGAGGTATTTACAGATTTTTCAGGTATTTCTAAGTAGGAGAACAAAAGTGGCAAAAGAAATTCTGCAGAGGAAGTTCAGCTTGAGCTGATATTGAAGGATAAGTAAGACAAAGAATGTCAGCTAAAGGGAAGGAGGAGAAAAGAAACTAGAGAGCATTCTTTTTTTTTTACATTGGCACCTGAGCTCACATCTGTTGCCAATCCTTGTTTTTTTTCTTTCCTTCTCCCCGAGGCCCCCCCAGTACATAGTTGTGTATTCTGGTTGTGAGCACCTCTGATTGTGCTATGTGGGATGCCGCTACAACATGGCCTGACGAGCGGTGCCATGTCCCTGTACTGAGGATCCGAACCAGTGACACCCTGTGCCGCCGAAGCAGGGCGCACGAACTTAACCATTCAGCCACAGGAATGGCCCCTAGAGAGCATTCTTAAGAAAGAGAAATATGTGCAAAGACACAAAAGATGTATGATATAGTATTTCACGCTTGTAGACTGCAAATAATTTTGTTTGGCTAGAGCAGGAAGGGTGATCTGATATAGATAAACTTGGAGTGCTTGTAGAAATTCCATCTGGGAGGCAAAAAGGTTTTGTCTGCCATGCCAACAACAGGTCTCTCTGGCTTTGGTGATTGGAGAGATAGTAATACTATTTCCTGATAAAAGGAATTTTGTAGGAGAAGCGTTAGAGGGAAAAGCATGTCTATTCTGTTATAGACATGTTGAGTGTGAAGAAACCTCTGGGATGTCCATATTCATATTAAGGCAATTGAATATATGGATCTAGGGCTAAGAAGAGAAACTTGAGAGAGAAGATTTGAAGTTACCCAATATTTGAGCCCAGAGTGGAGAAGATAAAGAAGATACAGCAAAATAGAGAGCAAGGAAACTGGAGGAGAACTAAGAGAAGTTTGAAGAAGGGTCTTAGAGTCTAAAAGTAACCTGAGGGGCCGGCCCTGTGGCTGAGTGGTTAAGTTCTCACGCTCCGCTTTGGCAGCCCAGGGTTTCGCCGGTTCGGATCCTGCGCGCAGACATGGCACTGCTCATCAGGCCATAGTGAAGCGATGTCCCACATGCCACAACTAGAATACACAACTACATACTGGGGGCTTTGGAGAGAAGAAGGAAAAAAAAAACTTAAAAGTAATCTGAGAACAAGAAACAGCACTTTCATTGTCTCCAGTTTCTGGTAACCACTCCTTTCCTCAGCTCCTTTAAGCCTAGGGATGGTAAAGGAGCACACTGTGTGTTGGTTCTACACACTTCTTTGTGATGATATCCTTACATCCTCTCTAGACCTTTGTAAATATTTCTTTTATCAAACTCCCCTTAAATTATCCTAGTTTGAATGTGTCATCTGATTCCTGCTGGGACTCATACAGAGAAGTTAGATTTTATCTGATAGTGGATATGGGGAGACACTGAGGAACTGTAAGAAAGGAGAAATTTCTTTTTCAGAAAGATCACTGGTTATGAGATGAAGAATGGATTAGAGAGGCATAATACTGAAGGCAAGGAGAACAATTAGGAGACTTTTACAAAAGGCCTGAAGAAGCTATGAGCTTAAAATGGGCTGGTAGGAGTAGAGATGGAGAGAAATTTTAGTGATATTAAAAAAAAGAATTACATGACTTGGTCACTGATTGAGTGTTAGAACTGATGAACTAGGAGTTAAGAATGACTCCTAAGTTTATGACTTGGGTGACGGGGTACAAAATGGTACAACTGACCATGACTGGTAATAAAGAATAAATTTTGAGGGAAAGATAATGAGTTCACTTTTGGATATTTAGAAGTTCTGGAACAAATCTAAATGTTTATATCCAAAAGGGAGTTAGATATAGGGACCTAGAGCCACACTATCTGATATAACTTTCTGTGATGATAGAAATATTCCATATTTGAGGTGTCTAATATGGTAGCCGCTAGGCAAATGTGGCTTTTGAGCATTTGAAATCTGGCTAGTCTGACTAAGGAACTGAATTTTTTATTTTATTTAATTTTGCTTTATTTACTTGGAGTAGCCACATAGGAGTAGCTACTGTATTGAACAATGCAGGTATAGACCTAAGAATGGTTTTTGTATTTTTAAAGGACTGAAAAAGTAAAAATAATTTTTATTTTATTTTCTTATTTTTTAAAAAATGTTTCCTTCTTCTCCCCAAAGCCCCCCATTACATAGTTGTGTATTTCAGTTGTGGGTCCTTCTACTTGTGCTGTGTGGGATGCCACCTTGGCATGGCTTGATAAGCAGTGCTAGGTCCGTGCCCAGGATCCGAACCAGTGAAACCCTGGGCCGCTGAAGCAGATTGTGAAAACTTAAGCACTCAGCCAAGGGGCTTGCCCCAGAATAATATTTTTGACATGTGAAAATTGTATGAAATTCAAATTTCAGTATCCAGAAATAAAGGTTTATTGTAACACAGCCATGCTCATTCATTTACATATTGTTTATAGCTGCTTTCCTGTGATAGTTATGGTGTCAGAGCTGAGTAATTGTGACAGACCATATGGCCCACAAAGCCTAAAATATTTACCATTTAGCCCTTTATTAAAAAGTTTGCTGACCCACGGTTTACAAGGTAGGAGAGGAGTTATATAAGGGTTTTGGAGTTGTCGGGAAATAGATATGAATAGAAACCAAGATAATAGATGAGATGCCCAGAGAAATGTATAATGGTGATTTGTGAGAAAAGGTGAAAAAATATGGAACTCTGGGAAGCCAACAGAAAAGAAACAGACAGAGGAAAAAGGATCTGGCATAGGAAACTAAAAGCAAATGATATAAGGAGAATCAAGATAGAGTGTTGTCATAGAAGTCAAGGGGAATAGGAGAAAAGAGCCCCAATGTATATTTTTAAGAACTTCTATGTTCCAAGACACTATGCTAGGCTGTTTATGCATGCTCTTTCAAATTTTATGACACCCTGTAAAATAGGTAATATATCAATAGGTAAGTACCTAAACAAGGAACTGAATCCAAGTGAGTATAAAACTCTCTTTATACCAATTGTATGGGAGGAGAGAGTTTGAATGAAGAAGTCAAAAGAGGAAAAGAGGTCTCATAATTACTATACAAAGTAAATGTATCTGGTGTATTGAAGATTAGAAGGTAGTTTATGATTTCAGCAAGGGTAGTCTCAGTGAATTTGTAGAAGCCAAAGCCATATTAACATGCACTTTTCCTTATATTTTAGTACAAGATTGTTTATCAATAATGTCATTAAATTTGTCGTAATTAGTTATATTTTAAAAAATCATCGATGAAATTTTATAGAAAGTGAATATGATATAAATTATAGGGATTAATACATCATTGCATAATTCTGAATCTTTAAGAACTGATACTTAATTTTTTGAATTTAGGTTCATTCTTTGGAAACAAAAGATCTTATGCAGAAAACACATTTGCATCAAACTTTACTTTTGGTACGAGCTCATCTTCTGTACGAGATAGTAATTATCCTCAAATGCTAAAAACTCCATTGTCTGTTGGAAATCCCCAGGGATCAGGTTATAAAAGTTGGACACCGCAAGTGGGATATTCAGGTAAAATGAGCGTAATATTGACCTAGATGACCTTTTGAAACTTTTAAAGTTTTGTAAATTGTAAATTAAGGTGGTTAAGTTCATTTGAAGTTATTTGTAACTGATATGGATGACTGAAAGATAAATACATCAGTTTACCCATATCCATAATTGAGGCTAGGTTAATAAGTCTACATAGTGTCTGATATTGTTTGTTAAATGCACATCTACATTATTTTAACCGTTCTGACAAAACAGCACAAGAAAGAGAAAGCTCTCCTTTTTGTACATGATATTTATTTAAATCTAGAAGTTTATCCTGATAATACTATTGACTGTTTTTTTTTAATACTTAAATTTTAGTTTTTCTCTAAAACTACTAGATTTTCTTGAGGGAAAATGAGTGAAATAGGTCTACATATGTAAGCATTTTCTAAAGTACATATAGTGGTATTTCTTGGTTACAGGGTATGTGAATGTGTACATTTACAAGATAATGACAAATTATTTTTCTAACTATTCTACCAACACACACTCTTAGTAGCAATGTGTGAGAATTCTTGATCTACATCCTCTCCAACATTTATTATTGTCAGACTTCTTAATCTTTACCAGTCTAGCAGTTGTAAAATACTACCTAATTGTAGTCCTAATTTGTATTTTTCTGGTTATTAAGAGGTTGGTGTTTTTTTTTTTTAATTGTCTCTCTTCTCTGCTGTACTATAAACTCCATGAAGGCAGAGATTGTAGCAGTCTGGATCCAGTCTGAAGTAGAACCATACAGTGATTTAAACGGGAGAAACTTAATGTAAAGAATTAATTAAACCATGATTAAAGAATACCTATAAGATATAGAAAAGTCTATAAGCCACTGTAGGGCTGAGGGGACTCCCAAGACAAGTCCCTCTCTGGGACCCATCTTCAAGGCTGGGGTACAGATCTCACTGGAGAAGGTGAAGTTGAACCTGTTGAATGACAGATTGAGTAATGCCTACAGATTTGCCAGGCCAGTACTGGTTCACTGTCCAGGGCAAACAGGAAACAGGCAGGGTGGGAGAACTGTAGCCAGTGGCTGCCACATGGATGAACAATGGGAGTGGGCTCTGGTGTGGGCAGGAGGCCTGGGGCACGCAATCTCCTGTTTGGGAGGGTGGTGGCATCAAGAGGACTGTGGAAGACAAACTTGAAGAGAGAGTGAAAAGAGCAGAGGGAATCAGTATGCGCAGGAGGCCTGGAGTGCAGGATATCTGTATCAAGAGGGCTGTGGGAAGTCTATTACCATGTCATGCTGGGACTGTGAGATTGTCAACAGACAGCACATTCTGTGTGGCTGGGGCACATCACCACCAGACATCCTCATACTTACACTGCTGACCCACCATGCTGCAGTGGAAACTGCCTGAGAACGTTTCCTCGTACAAGGTCCCTCCAGTGCCCTCTACTGAGAAACTTGACATTATGCACACGTAAAGTAGAAATGCTTATAGGAATTCTGTCCATTATTTCAGAGCTTATATTGAAGGGTGAATTGGGAACTGAGTGACAATAAATTAACTGGCATAACTCTTTTGTCTACTCAACTGCCAAATATATCCTTCTACACACATTTGGACTCCTTTACAACAGAAAAAATGGCTCTGTATTTCTACCTAGTGATACATCTGTCCTTACAAGTGAGGGAGTTCTCACTCTTTCCCAAAATGAGGGGACTTATAGTCCCAACAGTCATTGTATATTAATTATCTCAAATTAATATCGAATATTAATTATCCACTGAATATTCTGTTACCTAAAGACTAAATTGTAAAGTTAACCTCCGTTAACTTATGTATAAAACTTTTTAAAATTGAAAAGAGAGAGAAAAAATTGGTTAGTTTATACAAATAAATACATGCATGTAACAAAGCATAGAGAAAATATCCAAAGCTACTACAGTTTTTATTTCTGTAATTGGTCATGAGCTTGTAGTTGATATCTAGGGCATCCTTCTTCCACTACCCATTCCATATTTCTCTTACTCTCAGCAATAAGGGTGGAATGACCCAAACCTTCATTCCTGAAGCATCTGAGTCCTTAGTCACCCTGCCTTTTTTTGGTTGCTGTAGTTTTTCATTAACCGTTACTATTGGAAATACTCAGAGGTATCTCAGAGAATCCCCTGGGTTCCGTACACAGTCCTTTTTGCCTCCATTGTGTATAGCAACATGATATCCCCTTGGTAATCAGGATCGACTACTCCATCCATAGATAACCCCCTCCCCGCTTTTTCTTTGCCATTTGATTCAGTAGTGTGAATAAGGAGCACACATGGCGAAATGGCCAGGTGGCAGTCTCATCTTCCAGTTTAGTGGATCCATTCTTGTGTCACCTGGTAGAACCAGTAACCTTGTGGAGACTAAGATCTCCAAACCAGCAGAGCTCAAAGTTACCAGAATGGGACTCGAAAATTCTTCGGGTAGGTTAGTAGGTTTGATAGTGAGAATAGCCCCTCCCACTTCCACCCCTTGATCCCTCGACCCATGTATTCTGGCTATGAGGAACACAGCATCATGTAATGGTCTGTGATTCATACTATAGAGTGTATCCCGTATGACAGAACTCCATTTTTTCAGGGTGTTGTCTCCCAATTGGCACCGTAATTGAGTCTTCAGTAAGTCATTCTGCCTTTGGATTAAGCCACACATTTCTGAGTTTTGGGGTTTGTGGTAAGACGTGTTGATTGAATGAGCATGAGCCCCTTGATGTACTTCCTTTGCTGTGAAATGAGTTCTTTGATCAGAGGCAATACTGTGTAGAATGCCATGATGATGGTGATGCTATAGAAGCATTGTGGGCAAGGAAGGCAAATCCATATCTAGAATATGTGTTTATTCCAGTGAGAACAAATATCTGCCTCCTCCATGATGGAAGAAATCCAGCATCATCAACCTACCATCAGGTGGTGGGCCGTCCTCGGGGGAGTGGTGCTGTTTCGGGCATTTAATGTTCATCTCTGCAGTTGGCAGGTTAGGCACTCAGCGGTATGGTTAATCAGGTCAGCCTTCGTAAGAAGAAGTTCATGCTGTTGAGCCCATGCATAGTCTCTATCCTTGCTACCATAGCCACTTTGTTCATGGGTCTATTGAGGAAGCGCTGAGATGGCTGGGAAAAGAGGCTAATTGACATCCACAGAGCATATCATTTGTCCACCTGATTATTAAGAGTCTCCTCTACAGTGGATGCCCTTTCGTGGGCATTCACATGAGACACAAATATTCTCAAAGTTTCTGCCCATTCTAAGCGATCCACCCACATACTTCTTCCCCAACATTTCTTGTCGTCATCTTCCAATCCTATTCCTTCTAAATCCCTGACCATCCAGCTAAACCATTAGCAACTGCCCACGATTGAGTCTAAATCTGTACTTCTGGTCATCTCTCATTCCAGACATGGTGGAGAACCAATTGTATTGCTCAAAGTTCTTCACAGATGAAAGATCAAAATGAACAAAACAATTCAAATAGTTGGAAGAAAATAGTAATGCATATCAAATATCAAATAACTCAAGGAAGGAGGAGTTACTTAGCAGAAAAGCAATGGAAGAAACTGTAAAGAAAAAGATTATCTATACAAAAGCAGAAGTCTTTGAGATATCAAAAAATCAAGATTGGTAGCAACTATAAATTATTGTCATTGATTTACAAAATTCTCAGAAAAACAGATTGAAGGACATTAAGAGCTAATAAAAATTGTATGAAAAGGGTATAAACATCTCAAAAGAAAATATAGAATACAAATGGATAGACTAAATGATGTTCAATTTTGATAGTAATTTTTGAAAATATAAATCTAGGCACCAGTCCATTAAATTATCCAATGATAATAATAGTAATAATAGTAATAGTGATACATTTCAGAAATTAGTAACAAGAAGGATACATTGATTGGTTTTTCTCATATACTGCTGATGGAATAAAAATTAGTATACTTCTGAAAAGAGATTTGGCAATATATATGAGATCTGTAAAAAATGATTTTCCACTGTTCCAGTAATTTGACTTCTAAGGATCTACTTTAAGGAAATAATAAGAGACCTAGAAGAAAGCTTTATCCACTAGGATACTCCTTATAGTATTATGTATAGCAGAGAGATTAACAGTATAAATGTTCTTTTAGAAGTTTAAGAGAGGTGTTTTCTGAGTGTACTGAATTTCCATTGAAACTTGGTATTTATTTTCCAAATAAGCATAAGAAGATCATATTCTGTTGCAGAACTTAAACTGACTTCTGTAGATCTAATATAAACTCAGTCACCATGTATAACATGGCTGTCGTGATGAAAGGGTTCTGAGATGTAGACACAATAGATTTTTAAGTGAACTCTTAAGTTGACTTCTGACTAAGCATAAATATACAAGTAATTTTGTAGGTATTATAATAAAAGAATTGAAAAGAAAAACAGAAGCTAGGTTAAGGAGAAAAAGGAGAGAAGACAGGGGGTATATTGAGAGGTTGACAAGGGAATAAAAGATAATTTAGCTTTTTTAAAAATAAAATTATAGGTGTTTTTAGTGTGACTTTTTTATTCCTTCATTAATAATGCCCTATATTTAAATAATTTCATATACTTTAGAAAACACTTCTATATTATTGCATTTAATTCTTAGAACAACTTTGTGCAAAAGGTTTGGTATTTCTAGTTTACAGATGAAGAAATGGTAGTTTTAGAAAAGTTAAACACCTTACTTGAATATTCATGGTTTATAAGGCACAGATCTCAAAATCAGTAATATATGTAATGGTTAGGAGCACCAGCTGTGGAATCAAGCTAACTGAGTGCAAATTCTGACTCTACCGGTTCCATCCATGCCTCTCTCCTTATCAGTAAATAGAGAAAATAATGATGTCTGTTTGAGAAAGTTGTGACAATTAAATGAGTTGATCCAAGTAAAGAACTTAGAAAATTCTTTGCACATTCATAAAATATCCAACATTCCACAGATGTCTCAAAATTGGAGTTTGTAGTTGTATACTTTTATACTTTATGAAATGCATTCATATATATAATTCCACGTGATCTTTTCAGCCAGCTTTTGAGTTAGGCAAAGGAGTTATTACATTATATTTTTTGATTTATGATAATTTATTATGAAATAATTTGCTCAAATTCATATAGCTTTTTTTTTTTTTTTTTTTTTTGCTGAGGAAGATTTGCCCTGAGCTAACATCTGTGCCAGTCTTCCTCTATTTTGTGTGTGGGTTGCTGCCACAGCATGACTGCCGATGAGTCATGTAGGTCCACACCCAGGAACCAAACCTGGGCCACCAAAGCAGAGTGTGCGAAGTTCAACCACTAGGCTGTGGGGCTGGCCCTCGTTTAGCTTTCAATTACAGAATAAGATAAATAATTTAGATTTTCTGATCCCAAATTCAATATTCCTTTCATAGCCCTATTCCAATAAAATGCAAAATAAGACTATGTATAAACTTATTATTTCTATATATGAAGTTAAGTTTTGACAGAATACTTTGAGAGTTAACATTTTTATTTGGTCTGGATATGAAAAGCTATGGTTTGATGCTGAAAAAATGATTATCCTTGGATATTAACAGCCATGTCCTAGACTCAGTGCTTTGGGATCTTATAAGAAAGAACTAGAAATTATTAATGTTTATACTTTTTCTTTTTTAAATTTTTTTAACAGCTACATCCTCATCTGCAGTTTCTGCACACTCCTCATCAGTTATTGTAGCTGTTGTAGAAGGGAGAGGACTTGCCAGAGGTGAAATAGGAATGGCAAGTATTGATTTAAAAAGCCCACAAATTATATTATCTCAGTTTGCAGACAACACAACTTATGCAAAGGTAAGTATTTATAATCCTATAAAATGGTTGATCTAGTGGGCAGTATGCAGATTTTTAAGTCAGTGCTTTCTTAATTAGTTTACTTTTTGGTAGAATAAAGGTTATTTACAATTGCACTAATGTAGGTTACTTTGAATTAAAATAATTGTTTTTCATCTTAACTTTTTGAATATATTTTGTCCTAAAAATAATGTTTTGCTGTTATTTGAACATTTCAAATTACTGTTAATATTAGTTTCTAAAATTAATATCTTCAAATTAATAATTCCTGGACTCATTCCAAAGATAATAAGTATCTAATAATGTTATCTCCAAAGGGTTTCTACTGATCTGTATTTGAATTTTATTTTCCAGAATTAAAAGAAACTGATGTCTTAGATCAGTCATAATTTAATCTCTTAACTTCTTGCCTTCACTTCCTATCACTCATCAGTTTGGGCTGCTGGCCTCTTGTTGTAAGAATTTGTGTGACTTACCAGATAGAGCTAGTATACTCCTAATCTCTATATTCTAAAAAGTTATCATTAAAAAATATGATATACTATGTTATCTTTGGTGTTTTATTTTTCTTTATTCATTTACCTAATTCCCTTCTCTGATTCCCTAGAATGTAGGCTTCCTTTTCATACCTAATAATTAATTTTTTTAAAAGATTTTGTTTTTTTTGCTTTTTCTCCCAAAGTCTCCCGGTACATAGTTGTGTATTTTTTAGTTCTGGGTCCTTCTAGTTGTGGCATGTGGGACACCGCCTCAACATGGTTTGATGAGCAGTGCGATGTCCGTGCCCAGGATTCAGACTGGTGAAACCCTGGGCTGCTGAAGCAGAGCGAGTGAACTTAACCACTCGGCCACGGGGCTGGCCCCCTAATAATTAATTTTTTAATATACCTAACAACCTAAATGATATTAGTACTGCATGCTAACTTCATCTCTGGGTATTTCACATTTTTATGCAATTTAAAAAGAGTAGGCAAAAAGTTTTTTTAATACAGGAATGTTAGGCAAATTAATTAAGAATTTCTGTGTCTAGAGTAGTTCTAAGAAATGTACCTTATATTGTGAAAAACATAGCTCATAAAGCAGATGTTTATCATCTGCGTTTCTTTACTTTTCAGCTCCTAAGATATACCAGTGTGGCCATATTGATTTTATCACCATAGTTAGGCTATTGAATGTGAGTGTGTTTGTTTTTCATGGAGATGGATAAAATACTGAGTAGAAGAATTTATTTTCTCTTATTTTAGGAATACATATTTGATAAGTTCAAATTAATTTTGGGGTTTTGAAATGTTGTAAACTATTATGAGTAAAATATAGCCTATGTTTATAATATTTTATATTTGTAATTATATAGATTATATGTTTAATATATAACCATTAGAAATATATTTTAATTAAAATATATACTTAGGACAGTTGTAATTTTGTATATCTATGAATTACTTTTAAATACTTATCTCTCCGAAAAATACAAAACTTTTTTTGTTTTAGAGAATCCTAAGCTTACATTTAAGAAACTGTTTATTCAAATGATTTTAGGTAATCACTAAACTCAAAATTTTATCACCTTTGGAAATAATTATGTCAAATACTGCTTGTGTTGTGGGGAATTCAACCAAGTTGTTTACTCTGATCACAGAAAATTTCAAGGTAAAAGTGATTTTTATTCTCAGTAGTAACATTCAGTATCTTCTTTATTAAAAATCCATCTTGTAATATCATTGTAAAGAACAATAATTTGAGTAACTTTATATTTAGTACCCTAAAGTAATCACTAAATTTAAGTCCTAATCTAGGAACTATTAATACATGTAATAAAAGTGACAGGATATCCACTTATTTGATTGACACCCTTAATCTACTTTAAACAAAACGAAAAATGTTCTAGGTAATAAGGAGGTTTCTCAGAGTATACAGGAGGCAGACCCTTAGAGAAAGCATGGATTTCCTTAGGTACAGCTTCCTGGAAACTAGTTATTGTGCTGCAAGACTAGTTGAAATTGAGGTTCTTATTCTTCTAGGGGAAGAGTCTATCAGCAAGTGCTTTTTCTTTTGGAGAATTTGATCTATATCACAGAATTGTTTCAGCTCCGCCTGATACGATGTACTGCCTCACAGTTAGCCTCCGTCTGTGGAACTGTGATGAATAAGTGCTCTGGAACCTTATACAACCAGTGCTCTCCCTTTCAGTAAGGGCCTTTCTGCCGTGTAGTTTATCTCTTCCCTCTAGCAAATTTCCGTGTTTTGTGGAACAGGGGCTGTGGTTCTGAACCAAGTAGGCAGCATTGCAGTTGGAATAATTCCTGAAGAGTGAAAATTATTTTCAGAATATGTTATATTTTGTTATGTTTGTACACCTATCTTTAACACGTTTGGAACCAAGCTGATTTAGGATCTAATGAGTTCTTTATTGTTCCTAATATATTTAGCACCTGCAGTCATATAAGATTTCTTATGATGCTCTTAGAGATCCTAAGTGGCTCAGCTGTCTGACTCATTGCCAGAGATGGTCCCTATTATAAATCCATTGTCGCTATTAGACAAGTCTCTTTATCTATCTCTTTGATTTATTGCTTCAGACTTTTTTTATCACCCTTATTTAATATATACCTTTCCAACTTTTGCTATTTTGTTTGACTTAAGCATTCTAAGTTTCTTGGTTGTAAATAACTGAAATTCAACTTAAACTTGGCTAAATAAAAAAGGAAATTTATTGGTTTACTTAACTGGGAAGCCAAATGGTTGGATAGATCTTACCTCTATTCTCCTCCCCACCACCATCTTTTCTTTTCTTTTCTTTTTTTTTTTTTTACCACAGATAGGTTACCTCTATGAGGTTTAAGAAGATGATTGCTGATGGCTCCAGGCTGATGTCATCTCAGCTTAGCCAACTCAGAGAAGAAATAACTTCTTTCTTCCACTGTCCACATATGAATTCCAGGGAAGGACCCTGACTGGTCCTGCTTTTGTTTGTGTTCCCACATGTTAGACTAATCATTATTTAGTGGTGGGGTAGAAGTATTATGACTGATTAATCCCAGTTCATTTGCTTTTTGCTATGGAGCATAGAGACTGTAATTGACCGTCCTACTGGAACCATATGGAATGTGGTAGATAAGTCCTCCAAGGCAAAAAACAACATATATTCACTACATGTGGGATGTGAGGTAGTATAGCAAAGTGCTTCAGAATGGAGGAGTCAGACTGTGCTGGTTTCAAATCCTAATTCTAAGTGATCTTGTGCAAGTGGAGTTACTTAACCTCTTTAAGCTTCAGTTTTTTTCATCAGTAAAATAGGGATAATAATAATATCTACCTCCTAGAGAATTGGTATTTTATGTAGGGTAATCAGAAATGGCCTCATTGATAAGGTTACATTTGAGCTAAGTCCTGAAGAGAGTGAGGGAGAGAGCCATAGAGGTATTTGGGGAAAAAGTTTTATAAGCAGAGGCAAAAATCAATATTATTATTATCATACTTACCATAGAATGACCTTCGTTAATTAAGAAACAATATGAAGTAGAAGGAACATGGACAAAGAAATCTAAATTCAAGTATCACCTCTGGCACATATTAGGTGTATGATATTAGAAAAATTACTTTTCAGAATTTTACTTAGAGGAAAATTATAGTTAATGCAAGACTCATATCATAGGATTGTTGTGAAGATTAATTGAGATGACTTTAAAACAGTCTTGCCATGTAACAAATTCCCTACCTGCTTCTTACTGTTTTTTCCATCTTACAGTTCTTTCACAGTACATTGTTATTGGACCTTTCTTACCTATTATTTCTATTCAAAGTAGGTGAACTTTTTACTCTACAGCTTCTCTTGCTCTTTTTTAAAAGTTCCATCATCTCCTTTTCTTTATTCTAAATAAATTGAATTCACCTCATGTAGATAGTATTTCATAGATTTGACAGCTGGAAGTGGTATTTTCGTCTTCCTCAACTAGTATATTACAAGGATCTACCCTCTCTCAATTATGATAGAGTATATAAGGCTGAATGTAAAATCTGTGTGATGTTGTTGCTGTAGAATAAAATTACTAGAAGGTAATAAAATTACTAGAAGATAGAGGTTTATTTTTTGTTATTGTACCTAACATATTCGGTTAAATTTCATGTGAGTATGGTCTAATAAGAGCTACAGACTCTTATAATTCACTTAGCAAGGCAGATAATCATTCTCTTTTTGTAAATAACTAAGAACACTTATTACTTAATTCTGAAAAATAATAAATAATCAAACAAAAACTTTGTAGAATATTTAAGCCACTTACCCATGTACCAGCATGTATTTAAGAAAACAGTTATGGGTGAGCACATGAAACTTAAAATTTATGTTGAAATTAAATTCTTTTTTCAGAATGTTAATTTCACTACTATACAAAGGAAATACTTCAATGAAACAAAAGGATTAGAGTATATTGAACAGTTATGCATAGCAGAATTCAGCACTGTCCTAATGGAGGTTCAGTCCAAGTAAGTTATAATCTCAGGAAAGTAATAAATCTCTAGTATGAGTTACATGAGGACAAGTTCTTTTGTCTCTTTTGTTTTCTGCTATATTTTTACCACCTAGAAAAATGCCTGACTCATAATGCGTGCTCAGTACTTATTGAAATAGTAAAATAGTTAACTGAAATTTATACACAAGACGTATCTGCTAACTTAATTTATATAGAATTTCTTCAAATTAGTCGTGATCTGTTGTCCTGATGGTTGCTGCTCACCTCACTTTGGAGTGAAAACTCAAGTAGCTACAGTAAACTAGAAATGTGAAGGTACAGAAGGGGATGCAGTTAAAGCTGTGGTCCTGTCACTTCTTACCTTTTCTCCTAAAAGATTCAGCATGAAATAGGGAGTGATATTTTTGGAATGGATATTTCTTAGAACATGCTAAATAGCTGCTTTTTTTTTTAAAGCTTTTATTTTCCCTTTTTCTCCCCAAGGCCCCCCAGTACGTAGTTGTGTATTTTCAGTTATGGGTCCTTCTAGTTGTGGCATGTGGTACACCGCCTCAGCATGGCCTGATGAGCGGTGCCGTGGCCGCACCCAGGATCCGACCAGCAAAACTCTGGGTCACGGAGGTGAAGCACGCAAACTTAACCACTTGGCCACAGGGCCGGCCCCTATAGATACTTTCTTTGAGCCAGGTTGGACCACTTGTTTACTCAGTTAATCATAATAACTGCCCTCACTGAGATCATAACATACTTTCCCACATTGGAACTTCCTGACTGCTCCTTTAAAGCCCTCAGACTTTTTCAGCATCACTTGAATATTTAGAATGGTACATCAAAAATTGACATGAATTACCAGTGAGTATTGTCTTTTAACATGTGATTTATTGGAGTCTGATATCCCTTAAGTGTTAGACTTCAGAAAACTGTCTATTTTTATCAACTTTTACGTTTTAGAGACCAGAGCTAGTTTTCAAAAATAAGGAACACTTGGTGTGCTTTTTTCCTTTAAATTTAAGCAAGGCTATGCAAATATTTGTAATTTTCTTAATATTAAGGTAAAATAAATGTTTCCTTTTATAGCAATAATTTTTTTTAATTTAAAGATTTATAGTGATCATTGGTAACCTTACAGGTATTACTGCCTTGCAGCTGTTGCAGCTTTATTAAAATATGTTGAGTTTATTCAAAATTCAGTTTATGCACCAAAATCTCTGAAGATTTGTTTCCAGGGTAGTGAACAGACAGCCATGATAGATTCATCATCAGCCCAAAACCTTGAATTACTAATTAATAATCAAGACTGTAGGTAAGATCATGCAATTTTTTTCTTACAAAATATATCAGTATATTTTATTATGTCATATTTTCTATGAATAGTTATTTTATGTTTCTTTAAATTGTTTGATGGAGAAATATTGACTAAACATGCTTTTACCATTGTGCCATTGTTGCTGAACTGCTCAGGTGTTTCACCAAAATCAGGTTTTAAAAAAATATGTGTACTAAATTACAAAAAAAAACCCCAACTCATTCAAAACTGGGCGAAGGATTTGAACAGGTATTTCTCCAAAGAAGGTATACAAATGGCCTATAAGCACATGAGAAGATGCTCAACATCACTGGTCATTAGGGAAATGCAAATCAAAACTACAATTACCACTTCATACCCATTAGGATGGTTATTATCAAGTAAATGGAAAATAAGAATTGGTGAGGATGTGGAGAAATTGGAACCCTGGTACAATTATGGTGTGAATGTAAAATGGTGCAGTCACTTTAGGAAACAGTATGCTGTTTCCTCAAAAAGTTAAACATCGAATTATCATGTGATCCAGCAATTCTACTTCTAGGTATATACCCAAAAGAGTTGAGAGCAGGGACTCCAACAGATACTTGCATACATGTGTTCATAGCAGCATTATTCATAGTAGCCAAAAGGTAGAAACAAACCAAATGTCCATCAACAAATGACTGACTGGATAAAGAAAATAAGATATATATATACAATGAAATATCATCAGCCTTTGGTGGCTGGCCCTGTGACCTAGTGGTTAAGTTCAGCATGCTCTGCTTTGGTGGCCTGGGTTTGATTCCCAGGTGCAGACCTCACCTCTCATCCCTGACCATGTTGTGGCAGCGACCCACATACAAAATGGGGGAAGATTGGCAGCGGATGTTAGCTCAGGGTGAATCTTACTCAAACAACAAAAGGAGGAAGATTGATGACAGATGTTAGTTCAGGGTGAATCTTCCTCGGTAAAAAATTAAATAATTAAAATAAAATCATTCAGCCTTAAAAAGAAGTGAAATTCTGATACATGCCACCAGATATATGAACTTTGAAAACATTATGCTAAGTGACATAAGCCAGACACAAAAGGAAAAATATTTTATGATTCCACTTAAATGAAGTAGAGACTGAAAATAGAGGTTACCACAGATTGTGGGAAATGGGGAAGTGGGGAATAGGGAGTTATTTAATGGATTCCAAGTTTCTGTTTTTGATGATGGAAATGGATAGCGGTAATGGTTGCACAATATTTCGAGTATACCTAGTGACACTGAATTTTGTGGTTAAAATGGTAAAATTTATGTTATGTATGTTTTACCACAGTAAAAAAGGACCTATTGTGTCTAGAATACTACAAAATTAAAATAACCAGTTTTAAAAGCATCAAATACAGGAAATTCAAGGGGGCTCTGTAATCATTTGAGAAGGTAAAAATAGTTGGATCAATCTGGTCTATGGTGTGTGACTAGATTGCTGGTTTTATTCGTTTATTGTTACCTTTAGTTAGAATACCAGGAATATTGATGGTGAGCATGAAAGAGAGAGAGGGAGAGATGCGTGCACGCACGTGCACACACACACACACACACACATACATACACACATACACAGTTTATAGATTTCATAGTGAGTCACCTAAACTAGAATTAAAATGTTATTAGAACGTGATGTAATCAACCTGTGGTGTTGTTTATAGCAGGGATGTATTAATATGGGTTCAGTTTGGTGGAAAACATTAGTAAGTCATGGTTTTTCTCTTTGAGGAATAACACTCTAGAGGAGGAGACACATAGGCAGTATCATTAACATGTACTAAGTACAGTGATAGGAAAATCTGCATAAAAAATGATGGGATCATAGCAGAGACAGAGAGTTAATTGTTCTTGGTTAAGGGGTAAAGAGGAGTATTTAGGAAAGGCTTTCTAGAGGAGATATACCTATTGAAGTATAAATAGAAGTTATCCAGGTGAAGAAATAGAAAAGGTGGTAAGACTGTGAAAAACGAAGTCTTGAAAGCATGATTTTCAATATAATGATATGACAAGTGCAAGGAAACTGTAAGCTATTTAGTATTACTGATTGGTAAAGTGCAAGGTGGGAGTAAGTAAGCTTAGAGTAATTAAATCTCAGCTTTCAGTAATTAAATATAACTTCAAACATCAATGAAAGGGATAAACTTAAAATTATTATGAATTTTAGTATTAAGAGTATTGGAAAGAATAAAGAGTACCTTAGACAACTGAAACCTTAAGGTACTCAGTGCCAATTTAGAGCCATAGTTGTTTAAATGTCTCTATCACTTTGTGCATTCTTATCTTGGCTTCACTTTCCATGATGTGAAATCTCCAGACATTATTTACTGTTGCAAACTTAGAAACGTAGGCTATCTAATTTTGTTTATTATTTATTTTAATCAGCAAAAACAGTTTAGCCCTATCTAGATACTGTTGGTACTACTTTTAGTAAAAGTAAGAGTAGTACTGTATATACCACTTTAGTTATCCATCAGTATAGTGGCCTCAGCACCTTTGCAGTCCATTAAATAATGTTGGTCTAAAATGATAGCCTTTTTTAGGAGGTTATAGTTAATTGTAGTTATTATTCCTTTTCAGCTTAGTGAAAAAGTAATATTTTTCCTATTGCTAGGTAAAAAGGGTTAAAATAATATTATCTGGAAAAATTACTCTGTCATTGACTTTCTGTGTTACAACAATGTAGAGTAACATAGAAGGTCATTGACCGAGGCTGGTAATTATTGTAAAGTGTTTCATACTCAGTTTTACTTTGTCTTATTTCATAGTTCATCATTCTTTATCATTATCATTGTTAAACATTGCTTGAGTTCCTGCTATGTATTTTTTTTTATTGAGGTAACATTGGTTTATAACATTGTATAAATTTCAGGTGTGCATCATTATATTTCAGTTCCTGTGTAGATTACATCAAGTTCACCACGTAAAGACTACAATCTATCACCACACACATGTGCCTAAACACCCCTTTCGCCCTCCTCCCTCCTCTCTTCCCCTCTGGTAACCACCAGTCCAGTCTCTGTCTCTATGTGATTGTGTGTTGTTGTTTTTATCTTCTATTTATGAGTGAGATCATACAGTATTTGACTTTCTCCCTCTGACTTATTTTGCTTAGCATAATACCCTCAAGGTCCATCCATGTTGTCACAAATGGCTGGATGTGACCATTTCTTATGGCTGAGTAGTATTCCATTGTGTATATACCACATCTTCTTTATCAATTTGTCCCTTGATGGGCACCTAGGTTGCTTACAAGTCTGGACTGTTGTGAATAGTGCTGCAGTGAACATAGGGGTGCATGTATCATTATGCGTTTATGTTTTCGTGTTCTTTGGATAAATACCCAGCAGTGGAATAACTGGATTGTATGGTAGTTCTATTCTTAAGTTTTGAGGAATCTCCATACTGTTTTCCATGGTGGCTGCACCAGTTTGCACTCCCACCAGCAGTGTATGAGAGTTCCCTTCTCTCTACATCCTCTCTAACACTTGTTTTCTGTCTTGTTAATTATAGCCATTCTGGCAAGAGTGAGGTGATATCTCATTGTAGCTTTAATTTGCATTTCCCTGATAGTTGATGATGTTGAACATCGTTTCATGTGCCTGTTGGCCATCTGTATATCTTCTTTGGAGAAATGTCTGTTCAGATGTTTTGCCCATTTTTTTTTTAAACTTTTTATTAAGATTATGATAGTTTACAACCTTGTGAAATTTCAGTTGTGCATTATTGTTAGTCATGTTGTAGGTGCACCACTTCACCCTTTGTGCTCTCCCCTCACCGCCCCCCCCCCCCCTTTCCCCTGGTAACCACCAATCAGTTCTCTTTGTCTGTATGTTTAACTTCCACCTATGAGTGGAGTCATACAGAGTTTGTCTTTCTCTATCAGGCTTATTTCACTTAACATAGTACCCTCAAGGTCCATCCATGTTGTTGTGAATGGGACGATTTTATCCTTTTTTACAGCTGAGTAGTATTCCATTTTATATATACACCATATCTTCTTTATCCACTCATCAGTTGATGGGCACTTAGGTTGCTTCCGTGTCTTGGTTATTGTAAATAATGCTGCGATGAACATAGGGGTGCATGGGACTTTTGGAATTGCTGATTTCAAGTTCTTTGGATAGATACCCAGTATTGGGATGGCTGGGTCATAAGGTATTTCTATTTTTAATTTTTTGAGAAATCTCCATACTGTTTTCCATATTGGCTGCACCAGGTTGCATTCCCACCAACAGTGTTTGAGGGTTCCTTTTTCTCCACAACCTCTCCAACGTTTGTCACTTTTTGTTTTGAATATTTTTGCCAATCTAACAGATGTAAGGTGATATCTTAGTGTAGTTTTGATTTGCGTTTCCCTGATGATTAGTGATGATGAGCATCTTTTCATGCGTCTGTTGGCCATCCTTATATCTTCTTTGGAGAAATGTCTGCTCAGATCTTTGCCCATTTTTTAATGGGGTGTTGGTTTTTTTGTTGTTGAGTTATATGAGTTCTTTATATATTTTGGACATTAACTCCTTATCAGATATATGGTTTGCAAACATCTTCTCCCAATGGTTAGGTTGTCTTTTCGTTTTGTTGTTGGTTTCCTTTGCTGTGCAGAAGCTTTTTAGTTTGATGTAGTCCCATTTGTTTGTTTTTTCTTTTGTTTCCCTTGGTCGGTCAGACATGGTACTTGAAAATATGCTGCTAAGATCGATGTCAAAGAGCATACTGCCTATGTTTTCTTCTAGAAGTTTCATGGTTTCAGGTCTTACATTCAAGTCTTTAATCCATTTTGAGTTAATTTTTGTGTATGGTGAAAGATAATGGCCTACTTTCATTCTTTTGCTGTGGCTGTCCAGTTCTCCCAACACCATTAATTACGGAGACTTTCCTTTCTCCATTGTATGTTCCTGGCACCCTTATCGAAAATTAGCTGTCCATAGATGTGTGGGTTTATTTCTGGTCTCTTGATTCTGTTCCATTGATCTGTGTGTC